TCGCTGCACTGAGTATATGATCTGATCTTGACGCGTCCAATCACAACGGAGCTGACCTCCCTGCACGCCGCCGACTTTGGCGATTTTGATTCCAAACAAAATTTGTGTGATGCGGACTCTAGTGGGGGTGCTCCGTGCCTCATTACAAATAAAATCATTCCCCCGATAGCAGAAGTATATTTTTATATTTCAAAAATAAAACTTACTTTTTAACCGACGATAGAAACGGACGAGGTTCTCAAGTCGACGATGTTTTTTTATGTATGACCGCATAACTTTTTACACAGTAATCCGATTTTGATCATTTTTTAGGGTTCCGTACCTCAAAAGGAAAAAACGGAACCGACGGACGGACAACAAAGTGATGGTTCGTCCTGTCTGTCAAGACTTTAAATGTAAGGCCGGTTTAAAACCAATTAAACCAATCCGCTTAAAACGAAAAAAACCGTTTAAAACCGAAATAAACCATTTTTTTCGATGTAAAACGGTTGGTGTTGATGACTATGTTTTTCTTAATTATAACTACATTGTCTTGATTTTACCGAGGTAGGAATATAACGGAGTACCTATAAACTGTATAAAGATTTTTTAAATGTGTGATATACTTACTGATATTAATATACTTAGCGAGTATAGTTCTAGTTGGTCCATCCGCGACCAAGCATAGGTATTGGTGTCGATTCTGGCATGATTCTCTAAACCTAAACTTAAATTTGACAGCAGTATATCCTTGTCATTCTCTATACAGAATGAAAAGGAGAGACTGATGTTAAATTTAGTTTTAAGTTTAGAGAACCATGGCAGAATTGGTACCATTACCTACCTAAGTTATAAAAACTCTTATCATAAGATAAAAACTCTGTGTTAGTAAATAAAAAAAAATATTGTTTTCAAACGATATAAATCAATTTAATCAATTTGATTCGGTTTAAAACCAAACTCACACTCTCGCACTCTCGTTGACGTCACTCGTCGTTACTCGACGCAAACGTGTCCAACTCGCCTACCCTACACACACATGCACATACATAAACTGCCGGCCGCCCGCGCCGCGCACGCACACTTCTCAGGCGCGAATACAACAGGGGGTAGGTTGGGGCATGGATGGTGTCTGCTGACAATAACTACATCATGTACAGACAGGTCACAAGCCCATTTTAACAGTTAACATCTCTATGTATCTTGTTGTATATGTCAAAATGTGATTTTAAAAGTGACCCCCTGATTGTAGGTACGTTCGCATGTAGTTTTTGTATCTTTATCACAGGGGTTTGTTATTTATGATGACTGTAAATAAAGAACTAGTACAAAATTTAAAAAAAAATGACCATATGAAGTGTAAAAAACATAGTTCTTTTATTTTTGTATGCCAGTTTTCAACCGTTTAAAACGATTTATTTGGGGTTTAAAACGGCAACATTTGGTTTAAAACGTTTTAAATCGGTTGTTTTACATCTATGGTCAAGACCGTTTTTCTCAGGAACGCGTGGAGGTATCAAACTGAAATTCATATCTAATACTCATGTCTACTGTCCCTTGGAGCTGTGAAAAAATCAAACTTCTAAGCCAAAGCAATCAAAAGTTATAGCCGTTTATGCCGCAAATTTTCGAAACTCGCACGGGAATCACAACCTACAAGGTACTTCAGGGTAGTTCCCATGAACTTAGAATCTCGAAATTTAGTACGAAGTAACGTCTTATAGTACAGATAAAGGAAAAAGGAGAATGGGCAAATTGGTCTACCTACTCAACACCAACGAGCCATATGTATCAATGAAAAGGAAATTTCTTATACTTTATCATTTTGCATGACCGCAAATGTGTAGCTCATGGGGTTTCCTCTTTTGATGGGAACAGACTTTACAACTAATGGTCGACGGTATAGTTCCACAGGGTTTGGCGGGGGAGAGGGTAGGGAGTGGGGTTGGCTTGAATTCCCGACGCAAGCGCAGGTACAAAACTTGTTTGCTTAGTATTTTTTTTAAAGTACTTAGTCGTTTGTAAATTATTTAATTTTATTTTAACCGTTTTTAGTTTAATTTGTCACGTTTAACAGGTTTAAAACCTTCACATGGAGCCTTTTCATTTGATATACCTATAACACGATACAGTTAGCTAAAATTAACCCCCCAAAAGTAACTCCCTAAGAAATTATTTGTGATGTATGTACCAAATTGTAACTTGACCGGTCGGTAAGTATTTCTCAGAAAATCGCCTGTGGCAGACAGCAATTTTTGCCGATTGAAAAACGGAAACCTAAAGATAGTAAATGATCCTCAAAAAAATATCTACAATTGGCAACCTAACCTTAGGGTAAGGTACCAATTGTAGATTCTAGGTAAACATTTAGTTAGGTATTATTATTTTTAAAGATCATTAAAAAAATCCCCTTTAACATTTTAGGTATAGGTATCACCCGGGATGGTGAAAGGAGAATCCTTAAAAAAACTCTTGTCTGTAAAGTCGGTTTACTAACGACAGTTGAACGTGACGTTTTTTTACAATGTACATAGTCTTTACAAGTATGAATGTGCTTTTTTGAAATCATAGCTACGCTCGATAATTATTTCGATCGCATAGTAAAGCAATTGATTTTTTACTCATCGTAAAATAGTTTTGCACGAAACTTTATTTATTTATTGACGTTTCGTAGCCTTTCCAGGCTTCGTCGTCAGAATAAAACTTTTGTTTAATTTGTCGAGCTACCTTCGAAAGACTTTTATTGAGCGTTTGGTTATTTCATCGTTCGATTTTTAAGTTTTATTGTCTATGTATGAATTTATTATTTAATTTACTTAATAAAGTATTTTATTTAAAATTCTTGTTTGTAATTTTGCGTTTATTTATTTGACCCTAACTACCGTAAACTACCACCGGTTTTGCATGTTCATGCATTAGGGGGACCAAACCACTACATTAGATTTGATAGACCACAGATCCTTGCAGCTGAGCGGCGTTTCGTTTCCTCGAATGATGCGCGAGGCTATTGAGATTAAAAAATATCCAAATTTCAATAGGGAAGATGGTTGGTATATACCACCAGCTTGGGAACCTATTATACAGGAGATAAAATCCCAACCCCGAGCACATACTGCAAGACCATCAGATACTATTAGTTCTTTTTGTTTGCATAATTTAACATAAGAAGGAGATAGAAAGCCTCTCTTGAGTTTGTTTCGCCGGTTCTTCTCAGGAAGGTCTCCCAATTTTGGAACCGGTGGTAGTTTACGGTAGTTAGGGTCAAATAAATAAACGCAAAATTACAAACAAGAATTTTAAATAAAATACTTTATTAAGTAAATTAAATAATAAATTCATACATAGACAATAAAACTTAAAAATCGAACGATGAAATAACCAAACGCTCAATAAAAGTCTTTCGAAGGTAGCTCGACAAATTAAACAAAAGTTTTATTCTGACGACGAAGCCTGGAAAGGCTACGAAACGTCAATAAATAAATAAAGTTTCGTGCATTATCCCGTTTAAACTAGTTTTATTTAATGAGTGATGTGCGTGAAAACCTAAGAAACAAGTAAAATAGTTTTGTTAACTTATTGTGAACAGACTTTACAATATATTTACAGTTTTGTCAATTATAGCATAACCTACAATCGCTGCACTAGCGGACCTATGCTATTTATTTTAATGATGAAAGCACGAATATTCGACAATATATCACTGAACATATATTTAATATCGAAAGAATCATTACCTTTATCGTCGCAATTATCGTTGCTATAAACAATTGACACCACATTCACTTTTCACTGCACTTCATACTTGACGAAAACATGTAAATGTATTATTGTATAGCAGCAGTCCACGCGGACGCATCACTCATCGAACGCTGTCGAACGTGGAGGCTGGTTGTGCCTCTTTGTCGCTCGTTGCGCGCTCTCGCTTGCACTTCAAGCCCTAAATGGAACGCCTCAGAGCGAAGTAACGCCGCATGAGTCATGTTTTTTCGTGCGTGCAGCCGGCTCCATCGAATTATAAGACGTTGTCACGTCAATAAAGACAGAAAGAAGGGAAAAGAGGTGTGTGTGGCAAACACATCTAAATCGGCTCAGGCGTTTAGAAGTTATGGTGGAATAAATAATTGTACATAAATCAACAATAGTAATATCGTTGACATAGGTCCTACCTACACTACATGCCTACCAGCGTTGCCAGTTTTTTTTTGCCAAGTCGGGATTAAGGAACTTTTTGAGTGAAAAGCGGGATTCTTTCGTCGAAAGCGGGGCATAGTAAAAAAAATCGTATATAATCAAAAGTTTTTGAATATTTATCTTTTTGAATATTTACCTAGTTAAAAATATCCATAGAAAATGTATTTTAATAAAAATATTATATTTTAAATAAGATTTCGTTAAATAGTTGTCTTTGTTTGAGAGTTCTTCATTACGCGCCGAGCAGGCGGCCAATCCACATTAGGCTGTGCCACCCGCCCGCGATTTTTCAGTACTCTGCACGCACGGTCGGTCATTCATTCCTGAAAAGCGGGATTGTGCCAGTCCCGCGCTGGACATTTAATTTTATTTAAAAATCGGGACGTCTGGCGACGCTGATTCCTACATACATAAACCCTGAAAACATTACACAATCTTGTTCAGCAGTCGTGTAAAAATAAATGCAATATTCTTCTAAATGAATTTATTCGTATATACGTTTAAATATATTGTTCATACTGAGATGCTATAATATTCTATTATAATTAACTTATATCTAACGTCACAGTTAACATAACCGTGGCTCTAATCGATCGAGCGAGGCACATGACGGTAATACAAACTTTTTACGTATAAGTACCTATTCAGCTAAAATGTTTGGTCAATAAAGTCCTATTCCTAATGTCAATAAACAGTTGTTATATATCTAAATATGTAAATGAATAGGATACGATTAAAATGTACTTAAACACTTACTAAAACAATATAACATCTATGAAAACTCAAAGTTTGACATTTACAATTGCAATAGATATTTAAAATATTTTGTAGTGAGTAGGTATATTAACCACAGTGCCCTTACTTATTCTACAATTATTTTTTTGAATTTGTTCACCTCATTTGAGTAATTATTTCACCTAACACGAAGATAGGGCTTTTATTTCTATAAACAGTACAATAAATACAATATGGACCACTGGTACAGGGTTTTCAGGCTAATCAATAGATAATTAACTTTGGTTAGGACTTATGACTGACATCGTATTTCACAGAAAACGTCATGGCGCCCCAATCACTTTTGGAAAGTTGCTGTGTTAATTAGTTCCTTTTGTATTCCTCCATATGGCCAGCTTTTTATTTTTTCTGGTCGGGGTATAGCTACGATATATATGTATGATTCTACTCGTGTTACAATGAAATATTATCGGGCTATTAACTAACACAACTACTTTATACTTTTACATAACAAAGAATTTTAATTACTTTCTCCAAGGTTTACAAGTTTAATGAGTTCTTCTTTTGATGTGCTGATCATCACAACAATACGATCTCAACTGCTGTTTATTTTTCAAGTTCTCTACCTGTGTTTCTAGAAAGGCAGTTGTTCTGTTCAGCTGTTTGTCTTTGGAGGACGAAACACGTGTTTACAAGTAATTCACGGTTCACTTATAGCATTTATATTTTATTCCAAATACATATTAATCACAGGATTTATAAGGCATATAGATATTCTTATCATGCGGAGATGTAATAGCAGATCTGCAGAATTTGGGCCGGGTTTTTTGGGGCATCAAACACCGTAGCCGCCAGCGTCACCAAGATCAGGCTTGGAATCCGGAGCGTCTTGAACTCAACTCGACGAAAACACATTTCATCATTATGTATATTGGGTACAACTCTCTGTATTATTTACGTAACTGTTACGTTTTAACAGTTGGTACCAAACTCGGACGACACGTTGACGTCATTGGCGTGCCCCCCTTTGCTAATGTATTAGCGATGATTGATATTTTAAAGTTGAGTCAAGACCAACGGCCGACGCTGTTTATTCTTATTTGTCGTCCATTGGCACGCATCTGCGTGTATAGTCAACAGACAGAGGCGGATTTATGCATGAGGTTGAGTATATTAGGGCCTTTTTGGTAAAGGTCATCGTCAATCCGTTCAGACTTTGTGAAGAATCGCTAATTAGAAGCGAGCGTCTGTGGAGAACGGTTAGTTGCCGCCATAGTCGCGGAGTTCACGGTTGCCGAGCGGGAGTGTGGGCCTGTAGTTGTGCAGTACCTCCATAGCCTCAGAACCGCACGAAGGCTCGCCGCACCGCAGCCTCCGCATCAATGCCAACTGGAAAAAATGAAGACAGATAAATATAACAGTACTTATATAATAATACGCAGGGACAACATATTTGGGTACAAAGTTAGTAAATATAAAGTAACCTCATCGTGGTTATACTTTTAGTATTTTAAATAAGTTGGGTTTTAAAGGTTCAGATAAAGACAGTAAAGTAGAAAAGTAGTATTAGTAAGTTTTTTAAGTCGTCTACAATGCTGCTTTGTTTTTTAAAAGTAGGTCTAAATTAACGCTCATCCGAGACCGGTATTGCAACAACCGGTTTTACACCATTACTCAATCACGAATTTAATGTTTATATAAAATAAATTTTGCGTTTAGAGTTTTCCATTCTTTTAGACTTTAGAGAAACCCTAAAAATACTTAAAATAAAATAATGGTGTGGTTTTACGAACCCTAAAAATACTTAGAGAGTAACTTAGTATATATAGTCAGAAATGAGAACGTGTACACAAATTATGAAGCAAGAGTATGTAGTTATATTTTAAACTTCAAGGAACTTAATATATTTGAACTATTTCTTTAAATTTCAATAAATCAAAGATAAATTCTTTTCACAATACAACAAAGGCAGGGGATCCACTGATTCCTGAAATACAGGGTACGTAGGTACTACGTTCGCACTTATTGTAATAAACATAGAGGTACGTGTTTTATGACAAGCTAAACGACGGGTTAGCAACGAAAGTGAAAACAAATACTTTAAGAAATGAACTGTCTCGCTAAGGTCTTCGTTGCCTCAGTTGGAATTGCAACTAATTACTCAAAAAGTGAAAAGTTCCACCCAGTTTTAATGTACAAACACTATCTTACCTATTCCTTCGCATTATATTTTTTATTGTTATTAAAAAATCAGATCTATCAACAAGCATCGGTGGTTCAGTCGTAGAAAGCTCGCCTGCTACGCGGGCGGCCCGGGTTCGATTCTGAGCTGAGAATGCACTTTTAATGATTCAAAAAGTTTCACTTGCATTGTGGTTTCGTAAAACCACACCATTATTTTATTTTTATAAATAATAGTAGGTACCTGTTCAGCTGAAACTTGGATGGGCTCCTTGAACAAGATCCATGTGACTGACTCAGTGCAGGGTGGAGTGGTGAGTGAGCCGGGGTAGGTCCAGTACGCGACGCGGGGCGGCAGCAGCTGTGCGGGGTCCAGCGCCTCCGAGAGGGTCACCTTGTCGTTCTTGTGCTGGATGAATGGCAGCAAACGCACCACCTTGTCCAGCTCCTGGTGTTTTGACCCGACCTGAAATGTAGAATATAAGAATATAATTTGATACACGTAGAAGATTATAAACGTATAAATGTATATTTTTTAGCCAACGATGTTAATATCGTTGTTTTTAGCATATGAAATGGCTTCTTCAAATAGGGTTGAAGGTTTCTCAACAGGGTCGCCAATGGTGTTGTTTCAGCTAAAACAATACAAGAGTCTATGTTTAATAAAAGATGGGTAACTCATTTGTACCGTTTGTACGGCCGGAGCCAGCGACCACAAGGCAGGCGGAGCTGTGGCAAATCGTAAGTGGTTCGACCCAGATTTAGGGCCCTCCACTCCTTCGTTGCCCCAGGGACCCCACACCTCTAAATCCGGCCCTGAACCTACCTAAATAATAAAATATTAATCTCAAGTACGAAACACAGGTAATAGGCCGTACCTAACTGAATTTATACGCTAGTTAGGCAGAATTATGAATTACTGAATACATTAAGTAGGATATCCTTATGATACCCATACTTGTTTTATATCTAAGCTAATTCAATAAACTGGAGAGATGCAAAGATGTAGAGTAGAATAGTCCCTCCCTCTTACTATGAAAAACATTAAAAAAGTCACACTTGTATAATTACATTTTTATTACCCATACTTAGTTTATCATAAATAACATTTTACTATTTTTTTATTGGATTGAAATCAATAATTCGTAATGTAACTTTTCACTTAGCCGGCTAGCTGACGATATAAAAAAATGGTGATTACTTTCTCTATGTGATAAGCCACATAAGTAGGTAGGCTTTAACGAACGAATATGAATGTAAGCGACATTAATATATGGGAAAGGTTAATCACCAAATGGAATAAATTAAAATGGGAAAAATAATTAATAAACTTATAAACATAAGTACCTACCTAAAAAATACGAGGTGGAGGTAACTCGTATTTATTACACTACACCTTTTAGAATGAAATGAAATTGGATTTCATTCTAAAAGAAAAAGGAGTGAAGGTGCAATGCAATGGTGAGAACAGCACCTTATTAGCATTATGGTTCTTTATCTTAGTCATCAGAACACTAAAATTATGTAAGGATACTATTTAAAAACAAGTGTACGTATTACAGGTTATTTGATTGCAAAAGGTGTTGCGCTGATACCCAATATTGTTTTATAGTGACCGTGATTTCTAATTTTATGTAAGACTATTCTGTAGATACATTACAATTATATAATTACGAATGCATAGTCTATTTTTAATGCGTCATATGTAAATGACGTCATAAAATGCTAAAAACACAACGGTAGAGTCCACTTTCGAAATCAGATACAAAAAGTTTCCATCTTTCCAAGATATAGCTCTGTTAGAATAATTCTTTTGAATCTTACCATGTGCATCATTTGTAACTACTTGAATTTCATAGTGCCCTTGAATAGTAAAACAAAACCGTTTGCATTGTATAAGCATTAAGGTACTCACAGATATACACCTATACCGTATATGATGGTTACTAATAAAAGCTTTTACGACGTACGTTGGGCGTGAGTAGCAAAAATTTACGTTTGCCAATTTTTTACGATAAGTATTATAGTCGTAGTTTTTTTTTACTAGTTTTGTTGTTAAAAATATGTTTTGGGTGTGTTTAATATTAGTTAATACTTGTTGTTGCCATTAATGACTTCGGGGGAGTGTAGGTGGACGGGGTGAATGATTGGTTCCCTAGAGTCATGTGACCTAGGTATTTGTTATGCGTTAAGTAAGTTTGTTTTTATGTTGACTTGCTGATTTAAAATTGACATTGCCTTTAATAATACACGTTTTCCAGGGGAGAAGCTTCTTTATCCAAAACATTCTTTACATTAACGTAGGGAAGTATTAGCGAAATCTTTCGCTGTCGTAAGTTAAAAGAAAGTTTTTAGTAGAAGGTACTTAAATAGTAAGGTACCTATAATATTTAAAATGTAGTAAGTATTTTTAAGGGTCTCGACTCGATTATAAAGTAAGTATATTACTACATTTTTCTTTTAAGCTTCGAACAGCAAAATTTTTGCAGCAGGCTTAAATTGATCAACAGTAAAAAAGCAAAAGCTTTTTCTTTGTCCTTATATGTGAACATAAAGGTATTACATATCTATAAGTTAATAATGTCGACACATATAAAGTAGGTAAGTACTTAATTTTCCATTTCCTTCCTGTATAGATATGCAGATGTGTGTTACCTGTCGCTGTGGATCTAAGCGTAATAACTAGGTATCTGCTAAGTAAATATTATATTGAAGTGTAAGATATACCTATATATGTCATTAGTACTTTATTTCTGTGGGTATTGCTTTTTCATGTTGTTCTGATTTATAATTAAATTTTTACTTTCAAGGTTCTTTAGCTTGATTGTATGTATAACTATATAGGTACCTACTAAGTCACCGATAGATTGCGAATTTGTCACAGTTAGTGACATCAGCCGTACCGTACTGTTAAGGCCCGAGAATGTAAGTACAATGAAGGACTTGATATTTGACAGTGGACGAATATCGGCCTTATTGCTAGGCAACTAAGACTAGGTGTCGAAGTCGATTTGTAACTATCGATAATTCGAGACTGTGCCTCTGGGTTGCACTTCTTAGATGTGATATATAAGGTATGATGACAAAGTCTACTTTGAAACGGTTTTACTATACCAGTTACATATTTTTTCATAAAGGGTATTTTTTATATTAAGATATATAAGTAATGGTAGTTTTCTAATTTATACTTCATTCTCGATTGAATTTTTTATTAATATAACACAATAAAATTATATTTGTTAGATTACAAGAGCGCGTATCTGGTATTATTCAAACTTCTAAGTAATCTAAAATCATTCTTAATATTCCCGTTAACTACTTGTACTAGGTATGCACTTACTACGCTAATGTGCTTGAGTTACAAGTGGGTCTGTGGTTCACGTTTGTTTGTTTAACGTGAACCCGATACCCAACAGTCATTCCAATAATTGCAATCGTTAAAAATAAAAAAATCAATTAATTAAAATCAAAAGTTACAAGCCAAAAAATTATATCAGCTACCACCATAATTTTTTAAGGTCTCGGCGAGACCAATCATTCATCTATGTTTGTACCTATATTTTATACACAATTTTCAGCGTTAACTGCTATTGTCCCTATCGCACGGTATTTTCCAATGTGTGACAGCAATAGTTTTTTCAAAATACCAGTTTCGCAAATGTCTTTCAGGTCTCGTCCGCTCTTAATAGGCACAGCAACGCAAACAACGAACTTTAGTCCGCGTTGAGCACTCGATCCGATTTAAAGGAATGTACCCAGCATTCTCTTTTAAAACGTTTTGATCTTTAGCTTCATGTTAATTAAAACGCAATGTAATTTGATAATATTGTTTTCCATAGCGTGCGCTTCTCTTAATTGTCGCGCTACTAATGTACGTACACTGTGTGTGTTGAGTCCGTGACAAGTTCTCGGCGGACACTTTTTCACGATTGACTGCGCAGGTCATTATTGTAAGAAGGTGGTATACTTAGTAACTGCGTATTTTATTTTTATCTTAAGCGTGCACAAATATATAAATATCGTAAACCCCTATCCATGCAAGTGCAACATCGGACAGTTAAAAGGATTATGTTATAGGGCTTCTTTCCCGTTCCACTATAAATTATATATTTTCTTACAATAAGTAAATCTGAAATGTGTGTGTCTGGAGTGCTGGACTAAAGGCATTAAAAAAACTTTTACCTATATGTCCTACTTAGTTCCCAAAAAATCGAAGTGAAAGGGAAAATTCATATTAATATGAAGTGAGTTAAGTAATGAATGAGTACAATTCCATTCATTTCTATTTTTGTGGATTTCTTAGCACTTTAACTATATGTACCTACTTTTTTCTTCAACATGGTTCTTAGATCTTTCATGTTTGCTGCATAAATAGTGGCTAGACTCGTTCGTGACGTAAACAGAACAATGTGAATATGATTGAGAATATCCGTCATTGTAAGTAGATACAATGCCGTTACATTTGCCAACCTATCTAATAAACAGGTACCTACAAGTGCATAGGGTTTAAACACTTTCAACGAATCAACATTGTTAATTGTTACAATGCAAATAAAATACATAGGTACAGAGAACAAACTTTCTCGTACCACTACATCATAAAACATCATCATCATAAAAGTAGCTGTGATCACCACAGGTAGTTTTACCTATGAGTTTTACTGAATTCCTAATATAATTGTATGTATTATATTTTACAGAAGACTTAATACAGCTACTCCGTTCCGTGTTCAGTTCCTAGCGTGGTTTTTTAGTATGTAAAATATATTGTTAAATATGTTTTGGTTACTTAGAGGTGTGTTTCAAGCCACCTAGACCAGATGTTATAGTAGAGGAGCTCGATGGCGCAAGTGGTTAGCGCATTGGAGCGCGATCATTGAAGTTAAGCAACTTTCGCAGTGGTTTGCAATTGGATGGGTAACCAAAATCTAAAAAACATAAAATAGATCTAAATGTGGCTAAAACTTTACAAAATATGATAGAAGTATCTAACGTGCAACTTTAAGGCATAACTATCGATTCACACTTGAACTGGAAGGGCCATCTTAAACAGATTTGAAAAAAATAGCTAAATTTAGCTATGCCTTAAGCGTGCTAAAAACCAACACTAATATAAAAAAATGCATTATCGGAATACTATGCGTATGCATACGCATGGCTACATTACGGAATTATTCTCTAGGGGCAAAGTACCAATGCACATGGTCTGATTATCTCACAAAAGAAGTGTCTGCGTACCTATTATTTACAATATCCGACCACGAGAAAGTTGCAGGCCATACTTTATTAAAGAGAAAAGACTAACCCTCCCATCAATGTATATCATGGAATTAGCAATGTTTGTACGTAAATATCAAACATATTATGAAAGTAATAATAAATCTTCGCCGCCAATTTAATTTGATTCTTCCCGAACCTAAACTGAGATGTTTAAAAATGGACCATTATACCGATCCATCTTGATATATAATAAAATTCCCTTTACTATTAAAACAGAAACTAATACATTTAAGATTAAATTGAAATAGCATCTTGTAACAAAAGCGTTTTATTCTGTTAATGAATTTATAAATGATAAATAAATTTGTTAATAATAAATAAACTTAGTATTTAACTTCATTCAATTTAATTTAACTTAATTATATTTGACCTGTTTAATTTGATTTGATTTAATTTAACTTGTTATGATATGATTGTGATTTGACTATGATGATAGGATATAATTTGACTTGATTAATTTTTAAATTTGATTGATTTTGTTTAAATTTGGTTCATTTTTGCGTCGTATAATTAATATATACATTTAAATAATGTTTATTTCAAGTTTGTTGCAACACCCCAACGCGGACATGTACCACTCACTTTTTACTACGTAAGACCTTATTATAAATAAAGTACAAGTGCAATGTGATTTTTTTTTTTAAAATACTATCTCGAGGTCCTCCGTGCTTCGGAAGAAATTAAGTCGTTGGTCCCGACCGCATCTGCAGTCGTTAGCACCCACCAATCCGCACTGGCCCCGCGTGGTGGGAAATGCCTGTGCCCCAGCAGGACATTAATAGGCTGATGATGAGGCCAGATGTTCAGGACCTATATTATATTTTACTACATAATTACTGAAATCACCGGCAGATTATAAAGTGAAATCGTTATTAGGTTATTATAATCAGACTCTTACCGCTAGTAGGACGCCTAAGACTGCTAGCCCATCAGGTTTGCCGGCGGCCTCCTGAAAGCTGTCGTATTTGGAGGTGTTCCAATGGACGAGATGCAACTCCCCGGAGAAGGAGCGGCCGTCCACGGTGTGCTCAGACCCCTCACCGTCCTCTCTGCCCCAGTGGCAGTGCCACTGCTCTAGCATATAAACATCCGAACCCAGCGGACCGCCACGTAGTTCTGTGAAAAAATTCTATACCTTAACATGTTAATAGTTCGAGTTTCAGTTGCGCTGGATTGATAATTAATAAATGTACCTAATGATTCAGCCCAGTTAAGTAAATATACGGAATCGAACACTTTTTTTTCCGTCGGAATTCAGACTTTCGAATGTCACGATTTTCCTTTTTGTTATGAACACGAGATGTGCATCTTTTCCTTGAAGCAGTTGTGTTTTGTATCATTTATGAGAAAAAAATACAAAGGAAGATAAATCGTGAGAAATTGTTAACTAAATACTTATTACTTATCAGAATAGAGTTAAACAATTATGAAAATTTCAAAAGCCATTTTATAAAAATAATAATGATTTAAACATCTTGTTATATTAAAAAAATCAGGGCGGGATAAAAGTTTATTCGTATTTTATATGCAAACTCAAAAAACTATTTTTTAAGTTTATTAGGATTTTATTATAGGTTGGGAGAAAAATCCTGTTAATTGTATGTTTTTTTTAGCGGTTATCCCCAATTTGTGTCAGGTCTTTTCTTTCTTTTGTTTTTTGTTTGTTACTATTATTTTGTTTTTAGTCATGCCTGCTCTTTTGCATGTTTTGTTGTGCTTTTTCTTTTGCATAGCTTTCTTTTTCTTTTCATCTTTTACAATTATATTCTTAATTCCTATTACATTTCTTGTAATTTCTTTTTACTCTATTTACATTTCATTACATTTACACACACTTGTTTCCTTACTATCTATATTTCTTATTTATTACAATTTTTCTATTCTACACATTTCTTAATCCGATTTTACATTATTTGCCCATATGGCTCCTTGCGTGAATCTAATATTTACAAGTGTATAATAAATAGGTTACCTATACTAATCATCTTTATTTCTTTCTATGACTTTTATTACTATGCCTTTGCTATATTTAAGGAAGATCTCTCTATCTCTTTTGTTTGTTATAATTTCCTTCAGGTTCTCCTTACTAAATTGTGTGTCTAGTGCTGTTTGTGCGTCGTGTCTTTCTCTGTTGTGGAGGGGGCATTCTAAGATGACATGAAAAATGTCCTCTTCAGTGTCTGGGTCACATACGCATCTCGGGGTGTCCTTCTTTTTAAACCTATGGAGGTAGGCGGAGAAACCTCCATGCCCGGTGAAGATCTGTGCAGCTATTCTGTCCATTTCAATCTTTCTTACGACACCGAAGGCACTCTCCCCGCAAGGGAAGAATGCCTTCGTTGTGGCCGCCGTGTCCTCGCTCTTATACCTGCTGTCCCATTTAGCTTTCGTCATTGCGCGTAAATGTCGCTTGACGAAAGAGATGGGACAGCAGTCATAGTGCGATTTTCACTTCAACCCGAGGGCCGCCCCCTTCGCCAACTGATCTGCTCTCTCGTTTCCGATCACCCCGACGTGGGCCCTGATCCAAAACAGGGACACGGTTTGTCCGTTGTCCCTGAGTTGAGCCAGGTTTCCCTGAATCGCCTTGGTGATCGGATGCGAGGAGTCTGGATCAGTTAGCGACTGGAGAGAGGACCTCGAGTCGCTGAGCACGACGGCCTCCTTCCATCCCTTATCCATACACATTCCGTGACTTGGAAGATAGCATACAGCTCGGCTTGAAAGACTGTACAGTATGACTCCAGCTTAAACTTTTGGGAAAGGACTTCTGCCTGCCCTTTCCAATAGGTCAGGGCGGCTCCCACCTTTCCCTCTAGTTTGCTGCCATCCGTATAGATCTTCACAAGACCTTGTGCCAGTTTGCTATCCTCCTCCTCGTTTTCCAAACATTCGAATCCTATCATTCTGCTGCTACCGGGATGGTCCGATTCCCTGAAGGACACCCTTTTCTCCACCTTTCTCCCCCTTAATATTTCCGAGGGTTTCCCTCGCTTCGCCTCATAAAGCTGGGATGCTTCTTGGACCCTAAGGTCCAGCGGAAGCAGCCCCGACAATTTTAAGGCGAAGTTAAGAGACACCGTCTTATAGCACTTGGCTATTTTCTGCGCGAACCCCCTTTGTACAAACGAGAATTTTTTCTTGGTCATAATTTTGTCAGCTTCCTTTCGCCAGACACTCGCTGCGTATAATACATATGATCGTCTCTATTACTGCCAGATAAATGGTTCTTATGATCTCTGGTTGGAGACCCCAAGTCGTTTTTGCGGCTCTTTGTTTTCCTTTGAATATGTTGATGGCTTTGCCGCAGACGTATTTTATGTGCTCATTAAAGGTTAGTTTATTGTCTATTATAAGGCCGAGAATTTTAATTTCGTTAACCATTTCTATTTCGATCCCCCCCATGATCAGTACCGGTGCGTCGAATTTTAGCTTTTTAGTAATTACCATGGCTTTTGTTTTAAGTGCCGCAAAGTTTAGTTAATTGTACGTTAGTACCACTGCTACAGTGCGATTCAAAAACAAATGATGTTGTGATTGTGAGTCATCGAGTGGGGAACAGTGGGGACCCGGGATTGATGGAAATGCAAATTGGTTCACGTGACTGCCAACAAGGATATAAATACCTTATACCTATATTAACAACTCCTGTTTGTAATAGGGTCCCGTCTGTGACTGTGTGCATTTAATTTAGGAAGCACGGCATACCTACCTAGTTTAGGGTTCTGAGTCAACATGGACCCCTATACTTTTTTATGTTGCTAATTGTACAGTGCATTTTTGATAGACTCAGGGTTAGCTGTTTAATAAAAATATAATTGAAAGACAACCAATCAGTAAAAAATGCGAACACTCGTAATTCTATAGTTAAAAAGAGACATAATCGACAGAAAATAACCTTCAGCCTTCTTTGAAATTTTATCAAATCACAAAGAAACCTTTGCCTATAAGAAAATATAATTTCAAAAGGTTAGACGGGGAAGTTTATTCTTGATTTCAATTGTCTTTATGGGTTATTTATTCACTTACAAGATGAATATTTTGATTAAAATACAGAACATAACATGCAATTTGCTATGACATTACGACATGCAAGACGACTCATAAGAATCTACACAAAGTATCTATCTATTATTGGGGAAAATGTTTCTTCGCATTTGATATGCAGCTTCAAATCATTTTTTAATGGTAAAGTTAATTTACATTTAACTAAAGTATGTACGTGCCATTTTGTTCGATTAGTTTTTGCCATCTTGTAGGTAGGGTCATGATCCAATTGCTCCAATTGCTATAGAAATTATGGGGCTTCTGACCAAAAAACCGCGACAAGTGGTTTTGGCAGTTCTCTCGTGATGTTAACCTGACGTTAACATCACGAGATCACCTAAAGAATTCTTAAGAGACCAGAACAGGTGGAAATCTGTAAGAGCATTAACACCTCCCAGTTAAACTCTGTTAATTTTTGCTGAGTAGCTAAAGATGTGTGAGGTCAAGCGTTAACATGATGAAAAACCACACTGCTTTGTTTGTTTGTTGATTAATTCCTGCTGCTTTCTCTTAACTCTTTGATTTAATCTCATCACTTGTTCGCAGTAGAGTTTAGAATTGTTGGTCCTGCCTGGCGGTAACACCTCATAATGAATAATTTCCTTCCAATTCCACCATAAACACATCATCATCTTGTTGCGAGTTAACCCGCCATGGTCTGTGAAGCCTGACCGGCTTTTGACCACAACCTTTTTCGCACGTTCTTGTCAAAATGGTTCGGTTTCATAATTTCATTACGTCGTAATAAAGAATCACGGTTCATTAAGTTTCTTTCTGTGATCTTGTGAGGCACCTTAATATAGATCTTTTTTATGTACCTAGCTTTTTACAAAATGCACCAAAACTGTTTTGTGATCAATTCCTAGTTCTTCAGATACGACGTTACTACTAATATGCCGATCTTGCTTCACTTTTTAAAAAATGGCATCCATTTTAACTTTAAGAGCGCGACTAGAGCGACGTGCATTTTTGATATCAAAATTTCCGGATTGGAAACGCTTAAACCAAATTTGTGCTAATCTCACAGACACTGCACTAGGTCCATAAATATCACAATATTTTTTGCTTGCGCTGTATTTTTACCTTTTTTGTAATAAACTATTAAAGTGTATCGAATTTCTTCATTAGATTCGCTCATCTAGACAGTAAGAAAGACAAATGAAAATCACACATTTTTCTAATTTTAATTTGGAATTATCTTCTTCAAAATTTAAACTTTTTAATGATACCAAGCAGCCGGATACAATTGGTATAGCCAAAGAGATTTTATTACAAGTTCATACATACTATAATGCGAAAAGACTTATTCCCTAACCAATTATTAGAAACATTAAAAATAAAAAGAGAGATGAAATCAGTAAAGTTGTTCTTTAGTTATATTATGGCGTGCGTGACCAAGGATAATAGCGATTTATTTTTTTATAGGGAGATGATTAAAGTGGTGACAACACATGTAATTGTTGAATGAAAAACCGGGTGCAGGTACTCACCGGATTCGTATCCGTTCTCGTCGACGCGCCAGCAGTAGCCAGGGTTGAGGACAGACCGGGTGTGATTGACGGAGTACTTCCACCGGAGGGGGGGCGCGCTGTTACTACTCCGGGCGCGCGACGTCACAATATCTACGGGACTTTGACGCGCGCCTCCAGCCTCAGGGTACTTCTCCGTCCAGGTCGCTGGACCTACGGGATGAATAAAATAAAATAAATATTTGATTGCCATTAACATATTTATTTGTCGGTGAGGTGGCCACAACAGACGGTGCATATTGGTTCACGTGATATGATGGAAATAGTTCGACAGATAAATTCGATCAAATGGCATATAGTTTAGTGTAGAGTTATATTATTATTTATTATGATTAATAAATGTAAAACTTCCGCTTTCATTATGCAAACGGCTGGGAGTGGAACTCCTAACCGAGGTCTGTTTTCCCGGACCAATATAATCTTTACATCTTCAAGGCCAGAGTGAACAGGCATCTTCTAGGCAGGCGTGTACCATCCTAGGCCTCTTCATCGCTTTCCATCAGGTGAGATTGTGGTCAAACACCTTGCCTGTTAAGCATTAAAAAAACTGTTTTTCTCAGCAACACATTGATGCATGCATACGTTCGTTATATAGTTAAATATCGTAACGTAGTGAGTACGACACATGACATGTGACTAAATAATTCTGGTGTTTTGACAATGGCACAGCACACGCACGGTCGACTGGAGATGACGGCGCGCGGCGGCATTGATTTACAAAAATACCGGTCGCAGTCAACTGACCGATTTAATTAAACGGAATGATTTTTTAGATGCCCTTACTTTTTGCAAGGCTTAGATACGACAGCAGGAAGTGTTTTTCCACAGTATGCGTTTACCGTTTATTATAAGTTAATGATTATCAGTGTTATTGTGCATACATGAAGAGGTCAGGGCTTTATCAATATAGGGGACAATTTTTATTTGCACTCAATATCGTTAACTTCATTTTAGAGCGTCTATTATAAAAAAGAGTGGTTAATTATTACACTGCACAATGCAATGATAGGTAGTAAAAAATAAACTATTACATATACGATTTTATAGTAAGAGCAGATGATAAGGCTGAATGATTGCTTGGTACTTTAATAAATAACGCAGAGTAGTATAGTGAATAATATTAGTTTTATTTGAGAATGACGACCGATTGAGTGGTTATAAAAACTAAAGGATGAACGGACGGTTGTGGAATTAAAACTTCTAATCCACCAGAACAAAGAAAACCCTGGGAAAACCTGTGTTCTGTGACAGAGCTCTATTGTGCCCAATCTTTATTCGAGTACCGATTAAATTGACAGATCGTAAAGCAGTGCCGTACTGCGAATTTTGCCATTAAATTTGTTAGTCCAAATCACAATCACCAACTCACTACTTAAATCCACCAATTTGTTTATGCACCGATCTAAATATGTTTAACCACGCTCACACCCAAGTGGTCTAAGCTGGAGTATGCAAGCGATAATACCTAATACCTATAAACCTATAATATTCACTTTTGTTTTGACAATCCCTTTAGCGGTTCGTTTAAATAAGGATTATACGAATGAAAGGTCGCAATCTCCGCAACCTTTGAAATGGCAAAGCTAACTCTGATATGGTTGATACCAGCTATGAAATAGATGAAATAACACAATAGTTTCATATTGATTGTAAACAAATAATGTGTAATAAAAACGAAAGCTTGTCAGCATAATGCAGATAAAAAATATTTTTTACTTATCGTGATGTATGGTCTCTGCATTAATTTCCATGTGTAATAGACTTCCTGTGGTATTTGTATCTAAGTAAGCTTGAACAGTGAGTCTTGGCACTTTGTTATAACATCTACATAATCTCACATCACAATATGTTCGGTTAATTTTATAAGATGTTTAACATATTGCGTTCATTCATAGAATCTAGTTCCGTAAAGTGAGGTACGGTGAAGAGATGTTCTATCGTAATTTAAAAATAAAATAAGGAGTTATCTAACCATCACCCTTAAACTTGGCTACTTGAACATTATTTCTAAGTATTACTTCTAACCTGTCTCACACTACAGATTTTCATAGTTGCATTCATATTTTTTGTCTCGATGGTAGGTTGGGTAGCTGACCGATAAAGTATTATACGAAAGACAATAAAGAATTATCATCTGATTCTGTAAAGAGGAACATATTTCTCCTAGCCTGCTCTCCAAGTGAAGCAGAAAATCCGTTGTGCACTACTTGGTGTTTAGTGACGGAAAGCAAGAAGTCGTAACCATGACGAGGCTTTTCTAAATATTTTCACAATGACAAATCTCTTCAGTTCATTTAGTCACTTCAGCTTCCGGGAAAATGTTTATGGAATTATTATCTTGATGTGATAACGGCTCATCTGAGAATGTTATCTACGGAATTCTTCATGTGACAGTTTATGTAACTATTTTTCTAATTAATGATAAGCGCCTTGTTTTCCATTATGTATATGGCGTCAATTTGGCGTAGCTGAGTGAAAGTACCTCCTACTAGATTCTAAATTATGATGCACTACATTAACAGATTACTATTGAAATTATATTCTTTTTGAAACCACTTTATTTGTCTAATGAAATGAATAAACAATAAAGAATCGACAATTGAATCGTAAAAGGAGCGGGTATTGTCCCTTTATCAAAGTTAAATGGAATTGAATACAATAGTTTTTAAAATAAATAGCGTATAATGATATCATACAAGGGCTATAGAATTATCATCATCATCATCATCAACAGCCTATCCTAGTCCACTGCTGGACATAGGCCTCTTCAATTGCACGCCACTCAGATCGATTTTGGGCTACTCGCATCCAGCTCCTGCCAGCCACCTTGCGCAAATCGTCACTCCACCGTGCCTGAGGACGTCCTACACTACGTTTGCCTAGACGCGGTCTCCACTCCAGAACTCGTCTACCCCAACGGTTATCGGTTCTTCGGCAAATATGGCCAGCCCACTGCCACTTCAGCTTACTAATCCGGTGGGCTATGTCGATAACTCTGGTTCTCTGTCGGATTACCTCATTTCTGATGCGATCCTTCAGAGAAATGCCGAGCATAGCCCTTTCCATAGCGCGCTGAGCGACTTTGAACCTGTGGACCAGCCGTACCGTCAGTGTCTACACTGACGGTATAGAATTAACATTTTTAAAATTGAAAAATACTTAAGAGATATGTAGTAATTTATTAATGTAATTTACATAAAAACGCAGCACGAAGTAGTTCTTGGCCATTGATATTTGTATAATTTATTTTGTAACCATGTAGAATTTTAGTATTAAGTAGTGTATATACTTCAGATGGCAAAAAAGCTTAAAATAAACTATTCAAATAAAAACCTCTTAGCTTCAGGTGCATCGCAGCTTTAGATAAACCTAGACGTAGAAGACACATTTCCTTTTTGTTTTTAATAAGCGGCAATAAGAATATCTTCACATGTCTAAAAATTCTTCAAATGCAAAATTTCTTCTATCTACTTACTTGCTACGAGAAAATGGAGTCTAAGCGCCTAAGTAATTAATTATAAGTTTAACATCTGTGTAAAATTACAATTAGGTACTCAGTATATGAGCTATTGTATGAAAGTGGAAATACTCACATTGTGATGTTAAGCAACGCTAAATAGTTTTTAAATCATAACTAATTTTCATTCTTTTCAAGGTATATGTTATGTAGTTTTTCTTCACTTAAACTGATTTGAAGAAATCGGTCAGATCCTTAGCGTGTCTCGTCAATTGTTAAGAAAACAAAACGGTTACGATTTCCTATTCAGGTTTAAAATTATGCTTATTTAAATTTTGTTCCGCGTAATAGAAAAGGTTTAAAGATGTATGTTCATCTATTCAGACCAAATAATGTTGTTTTTAAATCATATTTTTAAAATTTTCTACAAACGATTTTAAGTATTTTACAGATGATGTAATATTACAGGGCGTATTGTGTGTTTGTAAATGCATAACAGCTTCTAAGTTATTAGGGCAATCTTTTTACTAGCTGTGCCCCGTGGTATTACCCGCGGTTTATTAGGTATATTTTCCCGAAGTAAAATGTAACCTATGTGTTAATCCAGGGTGTCAGCTAACTCCATACCATTTTTTTTAAATCGCTCCAGTTATTTAGACGTGAAGAAGTAACAAACATACACACTCACAAATTTTCGCCTTTATAATATTAGTGTGATTTGGTAAAACATTTTATATAAGCAACAAGTTAAACTGTTCAAGTGGATGCAAAAAAGAATCTTATTATTATTAGGAAAGCTCGTAAAACTAATGATAACATAATAATAATAAGAGTATTGAAGACATTAAAATAGGGTTTACCGATTAATCCTGTTTTTTTTTCATTATTATAAATATAGTGACAAATTAGTGCTATTTATATTTGTAAACATAACTTTGCATTATTAATCTATTATCTATACTTATCTATACTTATAATAAATCTGTAGAGAGGTCAATTCTGTACATGAAATATATTTTCAAAATAACTATCAGGGGGTGATAAGTGATCGATACTGATGCCAAAAATGCAATCAGTAAAATTTTTGTCTGTCTGTCTGTCTGTGTGTATGTTCCTTATAGAAACAAAAACTACTCGACGGATTTTAACGAAACTTGGTACAATTATTCTTCATACTCATGGGCAGGTTAAAGTATACTTTTCATCACGCTACAATCAATAGGAGCAGAGTAGTGAAGGGAAATGTTGGGAAAACGGGAGAAGTTACTCCATTTTTTAAGCCTCCGTCGCGTGTGGAGCCTTAATGGTTAAAGTTACATAGAAATCATGTATGACGGAAATATTCTACATAAAATTGTCTAAAAAATATCCCGCAACAGCATATGTGTATCTTTTATGGTTGACTCACAATAACACGTGTAACTCCTGATAGCTTAGCAGTTCGGAGCATTCTGATTATATTTGTTTACTCTTACGTTTATAATACTCTCACTCATCCCTAATTTAAAAAAGTTAACATTATTACCTATTCAATAAAAAAAGAATCATAGAAATCGGTATAGAAACACCAAACTTATACATGAAATAAGCCATCGCGCCGTCGCACGTGAATACTGAATCATGCTTTAAGGATTATTTTTGTGTAACGGCTGCCGCGCTCGACACGGGTCGTGGCGGCGCGGTAGGGTATAAAAAG